GTTATAGACTTCTATAAGGGATTTGTTCTTGTGACACACAACAGTTCATATGGTCAGATTAGACTGATCCTTTTGCTCTGTTTTATTTCATAATTTCCATCATACAAAACCATAAAGATGTTCCACATATCTCTTGCGGTGGTAAGTTTCATGATAGAGTGATAACCATCATCTGAAAGTGACCTCACGTCATGGCCAAAGTTGCATGAATCACACATGATTTTAATGTAACATCATATCACATGTTTTCAACCGTTTTCTTATTCTTTTATTTGGTTGATTGTTCTCGTACGAACCTGCTATGAATTTCTATATATGTGTGGGTGTTCCTATTGATGTTATGTTGCTACTCCTTCAACATAGATAGGGCTACAAATATTGGATAAATTATCATCTTTAAGCGATAAACATAATAATGAGTTGGGTAAAGAAATTGTAAAGGGCTTCGTATCTCTTGGTATAGCCTTCACAGTGGCAGAGAGGTTTGTGAGTCTATGCCAGTGTTGTTAGCCTTGAGAATTTATGGTAAATCCATATCCCTCATTTTGATTGGAAATTCAACGAGATTACAACCATCTAATAATAACGTTTTGACCTTCTTTAACTTAACCATAGTCCTTGGAAGCTTTTTAAGCATTTCAATAAACCAACCTACGTAAGTTCAAATGACAATTCAAAAAACAAGTTAGTTTATGTTTGTCAAATAATGGTCGTTGAACCATTAATAAAAATGGTATTACATCAATGAAGTCATTATCCAATTAATACATGTAAAGTCCAAGGATGTATCTAATATGTTTTAGAAAATCCAACGAGTTATTTAACAGGTTTTTAAATGTTCAATAACTTATTTGTTCTAAAAAAGTATCCAAAGAATTAATTATTTCAAACACTAAAGTCAATTGAGTTTTTTTAAGCTTTTATCTTAATAAAAATGATATTATATCAATGAAGTAATTATCCAATTAATACATACAAAGCAACAAACAAACTTCAACAAAAGATGTGTTGGTAACTTTGGAAATGACAAATGCATGGGGTTGAGGGAGGAGACCAACAAGGAAGTGATTGTGCTTGTATTCCCCTGCATACATACATCAAGAAAGGTAGTGTATTTTGTTAGTAATAATGAATAAGTCTTGAATATGGAAGTAAAATCTATTTGCTATTTTAAAACTTAAAGGAAGAAAACACCACACCTAATTAAGGATGATAGGGTTGGGTTCACGTGAGACCAGGTTGTTTTCGTGAGACCACATTTTTACATTTGAAACTTCACAACATAAACACTGTGAAGGTTTTAAAAAGTCGAACCTTCACAGCAAAAACACTGTGAAGGTTACCTTCACAGCATTTTGCTGTGAAGTTTCAAGTGTAAAAAACTGGTCTCACGGGTCTCACGAAAACAGGCTGGTCTCACGCGATCCCAAGTCAATGATGATATATATATATATATATATATATATATATAATTATCTTGCAAACATCAAATGGTCCATATTAAATAAATAAATAAGTAGATATCTTTTTCTGGTTATATAGTAATTAAAGGGTGATGATATATGCACCCCTCCTTATTGGTAAAGTGCACCCTCTCCTACAAATTTATGTTTATAACTTTTCAACGTTGTTTTCTAATTTTATTTTTCTAAATTTAAGTTTTGTAATACATTTTTGCAAACGAATTATTCCTAAATTAATTCAAATGACTATATAATTAATTTTCATTTTTATAATTGTATTGTTAACGTTTTAATTAATTAATAATTTATATATGTATTTTTTCTAAATAAATATTTAAAGCTACAAAGAT